CATATCTAACATGTGATGAATTATATTTATAAAAAGACAAAACCTCAATCAGATTTTAATATAACAAGACTTCGACTAGGTAGCTGATCGAAAGGTCAAAATTCTTTTCACATTAACTAATAAACATTTGGAAAGAAAACCTCTAAAGCGTGTAAGAAACACATTTTGTAATCCATAAATTTGTTGTTAATAAAGTACAAGGTAATCATTATCACTCTATAGGTATCCCTTATCCGTTTAAATTGTCTGTACACATATTGCCAGACTTATGTATTGACATGTTTTAGTTGAAATGAATGGTGTTCACTTGAATTATGGTGTACACGATTGGGTGTGCCTAGAGAAATTATAACATAGCGGATTAGCGAATTCTTAGTCCTTTTGTAAGCCGGTGTGTTTATAATTTCTTGAATCAAGATTTCATGCACTGAGATAACTCGAAGATTTATGCTGTTTTGAAATATTCCCCTACGTTTGATGTTTAAAATAAAAGTTGAATTATAAAAAATTAAAAATATAGGGTATAATTCACTTTTGAGGTTTACTGATAGTTAGACAGTAAAACTAGTTACCATTTTCAGACAAGACAGTATGTGTAGTGCAAATATAAATCAGGTGGGCATTGCTCTGAATGGTCAGGAAATATGGTTGGTAGATAAGAGTTCCACATTAAATGCTGCAGGTTCAAATTTCTTGTTGGGAAATAAATCTCTCGAGTGTTTTTCAATAAAAACATTATTCTGCAAAAGTGTCAGTAAAATCACAGCCTGATTTCAAGAATACTGACTATCTGAGTCCTCTGTTTGAAAGGAATTCAAAAACATTTTAAGAGAACATAATATAACTGCTACTATGAAATTATTTTTACCAAAGTCATTAACTGTTACTACGAAAACCAGTAAGCTCTAGTGTGATGATGAACGCATTGTAGTGATCAGATTTATTTTTCCAGTATTGGTTCCACTGACAATAATTATTACGCTGGAGTCATACTATTTATTATACCTGCTGAAGTTTTTGATTCAACATAGAAGACTGTAGCTATTTGCACAAAGTATAAAATTCGGTCCAGAAAGGAGTCTTAAACACTCCAGTGCATTTTACTTTTCTGTGTCAATCTTGTTAATTCTATGTCTTTTGGGGATTTTATAGTATTCACACGATTAAAACAACAGAAAAATAAACTCCCAAGGACTGTGAAAAGACATCTCTTTGAGAATCACCAACAACTATACAACCAGTCAAAGTATAGGAGCACTGCATTTTTGCAATGCATTGTGCTATGCACAACCAAAATCCCCCAAGGAGTCGAACACAGGACTACTAATTTTTACAAAAAGGTACATAATCTCTCAACCATTAGTATCAAACTGCAAAGCCAACGATTACCAAGCAGTAATAATCAACAACATTATTTCGATCTTATAAGAAATTAACAGATTTTGTTATATGATGTACATATGATAAAGAATTTCAAACCAGATTGAAAAAAAAAGTGATTGTTGATTATCAGTCAAAAACCTCATTTCTATTATAAGCAATAGAACTAGTGTAATTAGCTCAGACGTTTGTTCAAACATGGTGAATAGATACATGCATTCAATGAAGCATATTAAAGTAGCTCTTCTATACAATAATGAGAAATAGTCCTTTAGTAAGAAGAGTAAACCGCTGTTGCATAACTACGCATCACATCATCGCATGATAGCTAGATTCCTTTTTCTCTTTAAAATGATGCTGGATAACAAAACATAAAAACAGGTGTATTATTGTGAAACAAATTATGTGAGAAAACAAAAACAGACAGGCATCACAGATGTGCACCATAGTTATCCAGTTATAGACCTGACACTGTGAAACAGTACATCAAATAGCATGAGCTTTTTCAGCATAATGCAACAAAAGACACAACAATTCAGTGAAGAATAGGCAAATTTTTATTCACAAAATTATGGATAATAATAAAGTGTGAATGTATATGTGACATTAAAGAAGTCTTAGTCTCCAGCTACTACTTGAAAACAGTACAACAATTTAAGTTCTGTCACTTTGTTATGCTACAAAGGACACTGAAATCCATCAATAGGGCGAGTGAGGTGTCGCTAAACCAACTGGTTAATATTACTTTAGACAGACAGATGAACTCCTACAAGAAATTAGCAAATATTATCTTGTTAGACTCTGAATATCCTCTCCAAACACAAGTTCTTCCTTGAACCTCATCGCGTAGAACTAGAAGCACCTAGAAAAGACTGTATACTAGGACGACTCAGTACAAAACTCTACGACACCTTATTTGGCAGGCACACATTTTATGTGATGAGAAAAGTGCGAGAAAGGAGATTACCAACTTACTGAGGAACTCTAAGTAAACGGTATTCTCATTACTGCATTGTCGCCAATATTTTCACTTGATTTAAGCTCATATTCACTTCTTACTGAACAATATTATTAAAGAAAATTGTTTTTAATATGAATGCCCTATTTTAACTATTGCCCCTGTAATGAGAAAGTTAGATGCAATATTATATTGCTACATGCTGCAAATTACATATTTGTACCAAAAGTACTGTTTGGAATGAATTTTTTATTTTTATTAACATCAGTCTACATGACTTCTGGATTTCTGTTTTGAGTATCCATATTTGGTAGTGTTCTTACCTTATGCTTTTTTAGCTAACAGTTTTCTTCTGAAGGGAAATCAGCCCAGTAAATACAAAAAAACATGTCTTAGTTCCTTCAGTGTATGTTGAATAACTTTGATGACTTACACTGCCTTACCCAGAACTTTTTTCAGGTTGATATAAATGCAGCTTAAATTGGTTGTTTGACATTCACCTTTCAGTAGGTAAATGTTTTAGTACCTTTGTTGTTCATCAAAACTAGGGATTTTTGATATCGGTCTATACAACAGAATATTGAGAGCTGAATCGAATGAACAAAGTTTAGGTATGTTTCTGTTTATAACTCGGAAATACTTGCTGATGAAAGTGGACGCGATAACATGATATTATGTATATAAATGTATAAGTATGCAATGAAAGATTCAGGTTTTTAAAGCCTTAAGGCAGATTTTCGAATATCTTTGTATACATTAACTAGTTCTTTGAAAAGTGTAAACTTTTGAACTTGATGGGAATGAATATTATATATGACTTGAAAAGTAAGTAAAATTACTACTGTTTATGATTATTGTCGTCAGTAGTAATAGTAGCAGTCAGTTTTTCCCTCACTTTAATAGAGTTGACAAAAATAGAAAAGTTCAGATATATATCATGGCGAAAACCTACTACATTAGCATAATAGTAAATTTTTTATTACCCATTGTTTGTTTAACGGTAATTGATGTTTGTAAAACAAAATTGAGAAAACATCATTATGCAATTTACTACACCAATAGCGCCGATGGTGGTGTTTCTAATTTAAAATTTTCCCTTGGGAATACATCTCCTTGATTCATTAGTATATCAACATTAACACATCCTACGAATTCTTTCAGGTCTGATATTTTTATTCTGCTGTGATGATTAGCAGGTATTTGTGTCTGGATTTTATTTTCACTTCACTGTACAAATTATCTGTCAGACATAAGGATGTCAAATAACATCAACAATGAATTTGAATGCTTTAGCAGTAATCTCATAACGTCGTTGGTAATGGTATCATTTCAGAAAATATATCTATTAGTATTACAGGGTTAATTTACAGGTGAACTGCAAAATGATTTCATTCAGATAATGATACTCATTTAACAACAAATCTAATAAGTACATGAGAAATTCTGGTAATAAGTGAACCTGAAGGCAGTAGTGTCTAAGATATTTTGCTGATTGCAAAACACCTACTAGTTATTTTTATCTTATTTTGTAATATCATAATTCATCCTTTCTCCTGATTAGAGCTTTTATAATAAAAGCTTAAAATTCCCTGGGCAAAGCAGGGCTAAATGCTCTCGCATACCGGTTTCTTGATGAAATCTGCCTCTAAATTAAATGTTTCTCTTATAAACTGCCCTTTCCAAAGTAATTCTGTGTAACTGTTGCTAAAATAACTCGTTACAAGGGTGAGTATAAGAAACGATTTCGGGTGGGATTTAAGTTTTGTTCTTCATTTTATTATTTCATCATGTCAATCTGTTCGTCATACTGTACTGCCATGTTGTATTGAAGGGTTATTATTGACATCAGGTGAAATAATGATAAGTTAGGCAATAGTGAGCGAAGCTTCATTGTGTAATCTCTACAGTAATAAACAATGGTTTTCACTTTGTACGCGAAAAGCGGATATTCAGAGTGAGTTGCCATCTAATCTTCCTAATAAATTTGCAGTGATGTTAATGTTCAATATGAAATAAGAATTAGGACGTGAAGAACAACGCATTCCAAACAAACTGTTCAATGCAAGTTGCCTGAAATATAGTTTATTTTGTTCTAGGAATGACATTTAGAATAAATCAGTGTAAAGATTCACACCCTTAGACAATAATGTTCGTTAAAGAATCCTTAAAACATCACTAGTTCTCACTCGTTATCTAGTTGATGGTGGTGACGGCCAGTGATAGATCTGTGGGATCACGTTTCGTCCTATTTTAAAGTTGCCAGCGGGATTTGCCTGCAACTCCTGCAAACTCAAAAGCCTAGACGTTTTCCACTGAACTACTGAGTCACAGGAGCTGCTTTTTGTTCAATAGGTATCAGCTGTTATTTGATGAGTTTCACCTCTATTTTCCAGAGACAGGAATACATCGTAGGTGGTTTGTGTCCCTTTGTTTGGTGACCATATTAAAAAGGTAATAGATAAACTTCAAAAAGTAAGTGAAGCTCTATAGCTATATCAGTAAACATCGGACCTTTACTGTACTTTGTAGCAAATGTTAGTTTTATTAAAGAAGACACGAAAGTGTAATAAATCTATTAATAGTCCTAACAGGAAATATAAAATAAAACCGTTTAATACCATATAAATTACTGAACATATTTTCGAACATATTTTGAACTTACTCATTTTCATAGCTTCTAAATGAGTGGCGATGATAAAAAATAAAGTGAAGAGATAAGTAGCACTGATCAGGTTGAATTTCATGTTGATGGCTGTTATTTTATTGCTTAAAAGTGATAGAATACTGTTAGTTAACACTCTCTTGTTTGTGCTCACAGTGTACCCAGGTAACAACCGTTTTTGTTGAAATTACTGTCTTGTTGTTGAAAAGGTGACTTTTATATTCACTGAAGGAAAGTTTGCAACATCAACTAACCAATTAGAAGAGTGAATACTGTAAATACGTATATATATATATATATATATATGCGCACAAATACTAAAAAAACCTATATATGCTTTGGGTAATGATGTAAAATATGGAAAAAAAATATTTTCTACATAATTATTCCTTCATTTAGTTAAAGTAATATGATTTGAAGACGAGGGAATAACTTTCAGCTACAGAGAGAAAGACAAAGATAAGGAAAGAGGGAGGAAGTTAGAGGGGGAATAGTAAAAGTGAGAGACGAAAAGAGAGAAAGGTGTGTTTTTCAAGTTGTTAGAATAATATGCTTAGAAATTAAATTAAAAGAATTTACCTAATAGGTAAAAGAACTTTAAATCTTTAAAACAGCGTTGTTTAGCATTTCGAAGACTTTGACAAGGAAATCATCACAGCCTCTAGAAAATGAACAATCTGCAATCTGTTTCTTAAGTGATATTGTATTACGAAACAAAAAGAAGGCTTTCAATATCCTTTTAATTTATATTGAGCTTTAAATAAAACTCTGCAAACGACTTTAGATATCTCCGTTTGAAATTCTAATCTGAAATGTAAAAAGAACCTGTCAGTGAAGTTATTTTTACCATTATTTGATTGATAGTAGTGACTAATAGCGAAGATATGACGTGAGTTTAGTTCTGTTTGAGTGTTGTCATCTGTAATCTGCATCCCCACTGAACAACTATTTTTGACATCCGTTAATTGAAGATTATTTGTTTATTCTACAAGACGTACACAAGGTGGATTTTCATTTCAAGATGTCCATTGCTGCTCACAGATTTTTACCCCACTTACCAAAATCATTTGTTTATACATATGGAGAAGTGATCCTGGAAATTTCGCCCTATGGTTTGCATTACTCTTGTGAACAAACAGCAATACTTTACAAGGTCCTCAGGTAAGTTATAAAAAGCTTGCAAAAGGTCATTTGGTACAACTGTGAACCGCAAGTACTGATGGTTCACTCGAGGTAAAAGTGAATTTTATTCAGCACCAGACCCTGCTCTAAATTGTTTACCACAATAACTTCATAAAATATGTTAACTAGCCTGAAAACAGATATTGCTGTGGTACAGACAACTTGTCATCTGTTAGGGTTCCTGCTTTATAAAGAGTGGAGCTACATAACAAGGTATTCAACACACGTAGAGTTGTTATAGGATATGAAAGAGCCAGGTCAAAAAGATCGGCTTTAAAAATTATTCTCATTAACACTTCATGCTATGTTCTGCAGACGACATGGAAGTTCTGCGTACAAGTGGAACTTCAAAAAGTCTTAATACTAGCATCTTGATAGACTTAATGTGACGTGCTCAACTCGCCCTTTTTCTCTTTCAAACACGGCAAAAGAAAGGTCCGAGTAGGAAAGGACACAAATGATTGAGTCGATTGTATTTAGTGCAAAATATGAAACATTTTCTGACCCTTGTGGAGCAACTGAACACCTCATGATAATTACCATGATACCAAAGGGAATGAGCAGTTCAAAACCACTCACTCTGGTTTATAGATTACTGCCGGCCACATTAAAGTGAATAAAACTCTGGACAGTTGCCCTATTTGCTTCAAACTGTGCCTATCGCTGACGTTTCTATACAAAAATCAACCGAAATAATACAGACATCTCACTGTAACTAAACGAAATGGTGAGATTAGTCTAGCACGAAATAAAGGATTGCTGTGCACACACACCCGTACAAAAATCACAGTTTCTCAACTACCTAGACTACACACTTTGATATCTAAATCTGGGGAGTCTGAGTAGTGTTACTTTTGTACTGGTACATTCATCTGAACACACTACTGGAAATCGTAAAATTGGATTTTCTCCTAAATGCTGTGATCATTATCTGTTTACAGACTGTTAACTTCACTTTTGATTTTTAGTTGTTGGTTAAACTGTACGGACTTTATCTGCAATACAGCCTCTCAGTAAGAATGTATGACTGCGATACATCATATGCATAGAGTTACATGCACATCTGAGATAAGAGAATTTCCGAAGCCTCCTCCCCAAAACTTCATTTTGTTCTTGTTAGTAAGTGTAATGAGGGCGTTTCTATAGTCTGAAAGAAATAGTTTTAGTTACTTAAATTTGTCTTACTCGGTACTGAATCTGTTCAGAATCATTATAATTTAGAAGTTCATATCACTAAAGGGAACGAGACTGGTGACTAGCAGAAACGGTTATCAAAGAAATCATAAACACAACCCTGATGTCACAATATCTCACTCGATTCTTCTCAGTAACTTTGCATTCTACTTGTATTTTTTCTTCATTGGCTTTTCCTCCACTGATATTCAAGTTATCGCTACTTCTCAGGAAATCTTACTCGACATGATACTTGTATCTGTTCATAAATAACCCAGACTACATTATGAATAAACCTAAGGCTTATATCTCAACAGTGTCATTAATTACCACTGATTGGCTAATTCAGATGTTGATTTGTAGGAGGATGATTATTTTCAAGTTTGATCACGAAGTGATTTCAGTTGGAGAACCACTGAAAATCAGAGAGTACTGGATGGCTGTACCTTGCTAGTTGGGAAGTCTTCGGTAGTATACATCCATGAACCTACTACCACAGGTCGAATCCAAGAGCTTCAGGTTACAAGATGTGTCCACTGACGTTATACCTGTTGAGACAAAATTTAATGCTCCGTGTATCCTAACTTCTATTCTTTGACTACTTATATCCAAACAGCTGACCAGCACTCCCTAATTTTCAGTGGTTCTTTCAATTAAGTCATTTAATGGTAAATTATGTAATGTATACTTACTTGATTTCAGCATAGTTCATTCAGCTTTACACTAAACAGATTTATGTTGATTCTCTATTAATGTCTTTTTTCTTATAGGTTTTCTTAAATATAAAAAGTACACACAAAGATGCCATCCACTTGCATCATTTTTCTGGTGTTCAGAGAGTTAATAACATGGGTGATAGGGAAAAGAAATACCAAGTTTCACTTGATACAATATGTCGAGATCTTGATCATATGGAGGCAATTAAAATAGTTCGTTTTTAGTAATTATTTCGAGCAACCCTCTTTTTCATTGTTTTAGCTGTTACGGTCAGTTTATAAAGCTCCTGAGTAATTAAACATCTTGAAATTTGTAGGGCGTTTAACGCCACGAACTTCAAAAGAAATTTTTATCCGCTTCCATATTCTCATCAACTTGCCACTAACTCAAATTAATTTCTCACAATTAACCACATGAAAGTCGTTTATTAGCCATTTGTCAAATTGTAGTCTTCTTCATACTGAATTAGTTAATTCAGGCGTGAATATGTACATTTATTGATAAAAATACTTGCAGCGAATGTTGTTAAGATCTGAGGAATTCAGTGTCCTTATAAAGTAGACTGAAATGAAAAAACGTATTTCACCTCTAAAGTATTCCTGAATTTGATCGATATAAGGTTGGTGACTCATGTTTTATGGAAGTTTATGTCTGAGAATACATTGTAGTCACTTGTTCTTCCAAGTAATTTAGCCACACGCAGACAAATGAAGAATACTGTCCTGTACTGGAATCTTTAATGAATCAACTTATTCGGAATTCAACCTAATTTTCCCGCACATATAGACTGATCAAACTTATCTGTGAAACGTAGTTACGAATGTCTCTGAATCCGAAACAACTCAACGTATACTCTGCAAAACACTTTAGTTGCATTTGTGTACAAGATCGACTTGACATCTTTGTATATTAATAGGGGTTTGTAATTAATCTTAAGAACCACTGCAAAGGCGAAACTGTCGCGTGGCCGAGAAACGAAATAACAGTAAGCCAGTTTAAATATAGAGTCAGATTCTTCATTGGCATATTATACAGTTCAAGTTGAAAAATCACTTGAGTTTCTTTTAGAAAACTAAAATATTGGGATCACAATATGTCTGCTGCCTAATGTGATAAATGTTAACCGAGTAAAGAGGCATAATAGAGTAACGTTATTATATAAAACGGAATAATTAATATGAGTAGTTGGGATCCATTGTTAGCCAGTTAGATGTGACGTAAACACCAGCTGGCCGTTTCTTTCGTTTTGCCCCGAGCTCATCAGTGGTGTATGCGATTCGACTAAGCCCACATAGTCGAGTCATTTATGGTTTCTAACGATTCATATTAATCAATCAGAAGTATATATATATATATATATATATTGACAATTCAATTTAAGTTTGTTCATATATAAACGAAGAGAGAACAAACACACCATAGATCAGGAATTGTTTCTTATTTTTCAAGTATTGATATTTGGTTGTGAATGTTTCATTTCCAGCTTTGAATGAAAACTTAATGAAATCTTTCTGATGTCAGTCTAAGGCATTTTAGCTTAAGGATAAATTTCCGTAAACATCATAGCATTTCCACCCGCTGGAGTCAGCCGAACTTAAATAAAATAGAATTTTGTAGTCTCCATATTCAGTCAAGTTTCTAGTCTTCATGCAGATTTTCATTACATTTTTTGTTTTGTTCTGTCAGTAGACAGGTTTTCACTAGTACACTGGGTGTTAGACTTAAAATTCCCATTCAGTTCTTTCAAAAAATGTTACCATTATTATTTTGGGAGAATACTCTATGTATGTTACATAGTTCCTCATCAGGTTAAGTTTTTCATTTATGTTATGAAAAATTAGTGATAACTATGGGCTTTTTTCATTTATTCAAAACGCTTCAGTATTTAGAGGTTATTATTTTCTCTGAGCTGCATGTTCTAAGTATGAAGCTTTTTTTTTCCATCATGACTTCATCTTGGAGTTAGTATTGCAGATAATGTCTAGTAAAACAACTGGTCACTGCGTTGGT